CTCTCCTTCCTTCGTGTCCAAACTCTTATACAACTCCTCATATGCCTTTTGTTTGGCGTTGGCCACTTCCCTCTTCACCTCCCTTGTCCTCTCTTTGTACTCCAGTCTGTTCTCTTCTGTTCTGTCACTGTCCCATCTCTTCTTCGCTAATCTCTTCCTCTGCACACTCTCCTGGATCTCCTCATTCCACCACCAGGTCTCTTTGTCCTCCTTTCTCTGCCCAGAGGACATACTGTACCTAGCACCTTCCTACCTGTCTCCCTAATCACCGCAGCTGTGGTCTCCCAATCATCTGGGAATTCCTCAACACGGCCCAGGACTGCCCCTTACTTCCTTCCTGAAGTCTTCACAACATGTCTCTTATCTTTAATTTCCACCACTTGATCTTCTGCTCTGTCTTCACTCTCTTCCTTTTTTTTCTCTCCCTAACGCCAAACCTGCCCATCACTTCCTCGTCTCCTCTGTTCCCTTCCCCTACATGACCATTAAAGTCTGCTCCAATCACAACTCTCTCTCCCCTGGGGATACACTCAACATCATCCGATCCAGCTCATTCCAGAAAACAAGAAGACTCATTAGTCCGGAAATGACGGTATTCTTCAATTGATCAGCCTTCTCTTCACAGTTATTACAGAGGTGCTGTCGGAGCACTGCTGGTTTATGACATCACCAAACACCTAACCTATGAGAGCGTAGAGCGCTGGCTGAAGGAGCTGTATGACCATGCTGACCCCCACATTGTGGTTATGCTAGTGGGCAACAAGACGGATTTGGATTTGGAAAGATCTGTGCCCACGGAAGAAGCCAAAGAGTTTGCAGGTACAAACACAACAACAAGTATTGCTTCTTTGCTGTAAAAAAAAAAAAAAAAATCCTAACATGTTTTTTTTTCTGTATCTTTAGAAAAGAAAGGGCTCCTATTTCTGGAAACCTCAGCCTTAAATTCTACAAATGTGGAAGCAGCTTTTAACAATGTCTTAACAGGTACTGTAATGTATTACAACTTAAGGAGTGTATGGACCGTAAGTGTTTTAGGCAGAGAACCAATTTATGTATGGACCGTATATATGGGGGTAAGTGTTTTAGGCAGAGAACCAATTTGACGAGAGTTGTCATTATTTCTTAAATGTTTTATGTTTATTTTCATTCGATTTTTTTTTCTTTTAAATCTCTCAAAAAATAAACTATTCTGAAATCACATTCTTCTCCCAAACTAAACCTGTGAAAATGATTACGATATTATCGGCCCGATATTAGCACGTGTTTTTCCTCCGATAATGACAACCTGATAACATAATGCCTGGGTTTTGTCAAATATGCTAATATCGGACATCCCTAATTACAATTGGTTCTAAATGTGAGCATTGTAAGTAAATACTAATACTAATAATAACAACATCATCTGTGTCAATGTTTTCAATCAGAGATTCATAAGAAGGTGAGCAATAAGGAAGTGGTTCGCGGCTCCATCAGCGCCGTGACTCTAAACACATCTGGTGTTGAAAAGAAAGAGGATGAGGAGAAGAAGAAGCCCTGCTGTCAAAACATCTGATGACATCATCACCCCCCCCCCCCCCCACAAACCCGGAGTACGGGTCTACGCGAACCAGCGACACACCAGAAGACGTCTTCGTGCATCCTTAACCCGTTTGCAGAAGCGGACAAGGTGGCAGGAAACACAGCAACTACTGTTATCCAAATGGGTTTTTTTTTTAAAAAAAAAATGCACGCTTAGATGACTGACGATTCACGGTTTTTTTAAAAAAAAAATAATGCACGCTTAGATGACTGACGATTCAATTTGTATAAGCTGTAGATAGAAAATGAAATGTGAACGTCGAAACGTCGAATTTTAGCCAAATAGCAGAAGTATTACTACTCCATAATATGCATTTCGCTGTAGCTCAGGGTGAGACAGCTTTTATACTGGAACCCACATGTTGAGTTGCACAGTCAGGAGGCCCTTCTCAACAAGAAAATCCGTGACGTTAGCAAACGACACGAAACAGAAGCTGAATCATTTTTGCTGTTACCGATGTACATACACAACTACAGCCCAATCCTAATGTCATGGAATAAAAATTTTTACATTTTACATGCACTCCAAAATGAAATGTTCAGAGTCAAAAAAAAAAAAAAAAAAAGTTAAGGAACGTTTATTTAAAATTGAACTAAGACAGTACACAATGTCTTAGTTTTTCCTCTTTGGTCAAATATTTAGTTACAAATTCAATTTTTTTTCTTCTTCGCTGTCTTTTTGTTGTTGTTGTTGTTCAAGTTCGTGTAGCGGTTTGTGAGAAGACAATGGTTAAACCGCTGTTTTTATGTACAACTTTTTTTTTAAAAAAACTTTGAACTGCTGTTGAGTATTTAAACACATTATATTAAAATCTAAATAATTATAGATAATTCCAACAGACTAAACTGCATCTATTTCAATTTAATGTTCAAATATAAACAGCATAGCCTACTAGACAACAAATGTGTATCTAACTAAGTAACAGCTAACTTTTAGGGTTTATCTAAATTAATTCATTGTTTTTTTTTTATTATTCTCCATCGAATCCACATAATAAAAGAAATGGTTGCAAAAGATTTCCTGAGTATTTGTGTTTCTCAAATTACATTCAAATTCACGGGTGTCAAACGACGAGATTTAAGGTACAACCTGCAAGCCATGAATATTTTTTTTTCATATATATATATATTTTATATTCATATATTTACGTATCGTATATACTGTACTGTTATATATGTTGTATATACAACATAGCATGTTATTATTTATGTTAATATTATCATTAACTAACACAATTTTTTTAATCGGGTTTTTGTTCTTTCAATTTATGATAAATTAAGTTATTTTATTTCTTTTGATAAATGTATTTAATAACGTACCATATATATCTATACCAATAAACTTAATTAACTTAATTAAATTAAGTAGTTTCACTTTGGGAGAAAACCCACAGACACAACTTGATGCAGTGATACATTCATTCTCAGTGAAGAGTGAATTGTAGGTTTTGTAAATCATTTCCGCCGCACACCATAACCATAAAAGCACACTTTAGAAACTTCAGAACAGGTGAGTACATGTTATGTTGGAGCTTGTTTAGTTATGGTGACGAAACACTGGAGATGTTGTAAACTTAAACAGATGCAGCTCTTATTAGGATATCAGTATAATAATATGGAAATGTTAATTTAACACAACAGAATGCGAAAGTTTGATCATATATATATATATAAAATGTTGTTTTTTTAAATATATATATATATATGTATATATATATATATGTATATATATATATATATATATATAATCCATATATTTAAAAAAACAACATTTTGATTAGTTAAAATTGGATGCTTTCATACTTTACATACATTATTAGAGAAAACTTTAAGGAGGGAGTTAATAAGTTAAGTGAGTCTAAGTTAAGTTAAGAGTAGTTGCTTTCATTGTAATATCTACCAACTACCTTCACTAGAAACCTTGTGGTCCTTGACGTCATGCATGCTAGTCTTGATTGGCAGTGAGTCAAACCAATCACATTAAGGTTATTAACAGGTGTCACGCGGCCATTGACCAGTAGAAGCGCGGAAAAGGGTTCAACTAAGGAATTGAGCGGACGTCGTAGTCACGGCAGCTACTGGGTAGAAAGAAGAGAACATAGTTGTCCAGCTTCAGGCTACCGTGTCCAGTGAGTCTTTATGTCCTTTCACAACTGCGGAGCCACCATCTTCTCACCGGACAGCGACTCACTGTTGCTGCCTTTGCTGTTAGTGGAGCGGTAATAAGAGCGCGTGAGGCTCAAGTCGCAAACGGAACAGCCTCTTGGTTTCACAGCTGCCTAAGCCGAGAAGAAGTTTGTCTCACTTCTTGAACGCAGAAGAGAAACTATGAGCAACAGGGAAGACGAATATGACTACCTCTTCAAAGGTGAGCTGTCGTCCACAATGAAGTTTACGATACATTTGTTGGCTTGTCATAGTCGTTATTTGTCCGCGGGTGTAATGGTAGCTCCGCCACAGCCAGGTGTAAGGAATACGTAGCGGCACCTGCAGCCTTCCCTGAAAGGTTTCAGGTAATGGCGCTGCTCTAAACCTTTGCTGTATTTGTGTTTTATTTATATATATCGATATCATATTAAGGATTCGACAATGTTTTCTTTATTGAATCGTCTAAGTGCGGAAGACAGTCATATTTTAAATGTATAGTGAAATGGAAACTGAAATGAAATGTTTTGTTCTGTTTACAAGAAAAGTGTATATAGTGTGTACCAAGCGGACAAAAGACTGCGAAACATTTCCTCCTTTAAAATTCTGTATTACCACATTTTTAAAGTATATGAAATACTTTAAATCAGTTAGTTGTTGGTTGACTTTATGCTAGGTTAGGTTTTTAAAAAAAAAAAAAAAAAAGTCGTCGCAGCCCCCTTTGAATTAACGCGGAGTTCCCTGTACTAATGTAAAACTTGTGTGGGGGTTTGATAGGTTAGGGTTTTAAAAAAAAAAAAAAAAAGTCGTCGCAGCCCCATTGTAATTAACGAGTAGTACCTGTATCTACTGTAAAGCTTGTATGGGAGAAATGGATGGAACCATCCGGTTCAAGGAATGGAGTTCTAGAAGGAGGCCGGAAGTAGCAGTTATCCAATAGGGCTGACTCCCCAGGTTATAAATAACATGAAGATTTATATGTGAAGTTTACAGGCTTAGCCTCTAGTTCCAGAAATGTCTTTTGTTAACATGTATTGTCTGTTAAGAGTAAAAAAATAACCTGAAATATAAAGAATAAAATGTCAATAATAGTTAACACCCAAAGTAGGTATTGTCTGTTAAGAGTAAAAAAAAAAACCTGAAATATAAAGAATATAAACCTAGACAATTCACTGAATACCCCTTTAATATATCTATAACAACTATAGCCCTTCCTACCAACTCTACTTTTTTCATTTTTATGTCAATAATAGTTAACACCCAAAGTAAAAATATATTCATATACTGATAAAAATGCCATTTTCAACTTAAGAGATATCAAGTAATCCTTGTGATTGGCCAACTAGAGACTATATATATATACTGTAGTTTCAAAAAGAGATTTGTTAAAAGTTAATTTAGCTTATTTCTTGGAAGTTTTTCAGGTAGCACTAATAAAGATATGTGAATTATTTTACAATTTTAGGTATAAAATGTAGCATCAAAAGAGAACAACCAGCCATGTCACGAACACTATTTTGGGAACTTTCAGTTGCCAATGGTTAGAAAACACATTTGTAACCTGATGCCACAGTCAATATGTTTTTAAATATATTGTGGAACCATGTTTTGTGAGAATATAATCCAAAATCTTGGAGCATTTGATCTATATTGGGATATAATAAATAATTATGCAGTTAAATAACATGATCCTCATTTTAACCATTAAAATAATATGTATGGAATTAAAAAAAACACAAAAACCATTGTACATGATTAACCAGTTACACAAACAAAACAAATCATTGTACATGATTAACCAGTTACACAACAGGAATAACACAACTTTTTTTTTTTTTACCACAGCATTTATTATAATGACAACTTGGATCTCAAGTCAAAACTGCGTCTGCCTTTACAGACAGTTACCAGACAGAGCAGGAAGCACTGCAGCATGGTCTTTCGTTTATTTTGTATTTTCATAATTGTTGTAGCAGTAATAACTGTTTTGGGAATGTTCGATTAGTACGATCGGAATGAGTTTGGACCACATCAGAAACATTCAATATAATCTGACATGTAAAGAGGCTGAAGACCCTTGCTATAGACAGTGATGAACCTCTGATCTCTATGATCCTTCTAAACAAGTCTATTTTGCATTGAAAGGCCTCATCCATTCCTAATCGTATGGAGGTACCTTCCATACATGCTTTTTTATTTTGGGAAAAAAAAAAGTATTCATCTGTCAGATTGCAGCCCACATATCCACGCAGAGTATTAGGATTCAATGTTACACATGAAAATGGGCAATTCTAGAATAGGGTTTAATACAGTATAATAAAGAGTCTGTTCTCTTGAATGATTGAAGCCATTTCCATTCAAGATGCCTTGACACTAACCCAAAACTTTATCTGAAAAAGTTGTTGTAATTTCCTGTTTTGCGGCAGCAGAGATTTCTCTACATAAGAAAACCATTATAATTTTCTGTGTCAAATATTTTAGGCTTTTACACAGATAATTTTATTAAACATTTTACCAATAGTCAGGCTTTTACACAAAGAATTTTATTAAACATTTTACCAATAGTCAACATCACACTTTTTTTTTTTTTTTTTTTTTTTAATTCTTCAATGAATGCAGTATTCAAACATTTATTTAATTAAATGGAGTAGGTACGTAGAGCAACTCTAGTTGTATGTACAGTATGTTGTTAATGATACATATTTCCTGTATGGCAGTCTGGCACAGCCTTGGATTTGTTTTTATCTTCCATTCAGTCAGTAAAGGGAAGGTGTGTGTGTGTGTGTGCGCTCATAGACATAGCAAATATAGAACATAAAACAAGTTTGTGCTGTCAAACTGGTCATACTTGCAGCCAGGTGTGTGTGTGTGTGTGTGTGCGTGCGAGCGAGCGCGTGTGTTTTTCAAAACACAGAAATTATTTGTGTTCATTCACTGTCATACCCCTGATCAAAAATTCATAAAGTCATGGTTTCTCTGATTAAATGTACAAATGAAGTCTGTGAAGGCTGTGTTGGTCCAGCTACTAAATCCTTAACACTAGAACCAGCTACTGCTATGGTTGCGACTCCTTCTCTCACACCTCGTTTTTAATGTCTGACTGTGTGAGTCAGGCTTGGTTAGCCCAGGGTGTGAGCCACACAAACCTGTCCTTACAGATAGGGAAATGTCAGAACAGGAAGTGTAAGGATCATGTGAGTGGAGTCTGTTTATGAGAATTCTTTCGTACTAGTTTTAAGAAAATTAGAAAATCGGTTTTTAGGACCTTATTTTTAGAAGGCTTGTAGATGTAGATTGAGTAATATTGTTGAGGATAAGGACAATACTAAAACTTTGAAAGCGACCTTTTAAAAGCATTCTGCAAACCACCATGAAAATGCATGCATATATATATACACATATATATACACATATATATATACATATATACACACATATATATATATAAATACACGGAAAAAAATTGGAAGCGACAGAAATTACAAATCGAAATTGGCCCAAAATTTCTAATCGTGCACCTGTAATTTATGTACACGAAATTGTCTGTACCCCTACGTTAAGGAAATGAAATCCAACAATGGTCACTGAAAAAACTTGAAACTGTCAAAGGTAATAATAAATTTAAAAGTTAACCAGTGATAATTAGACATTGCTGTTAAATTTTGTTCAACAGAATCCTTTAAAAACACACAAATGAAACTGTCTTTTCAGAAGTTTTTTTTTATTCATAATTACTCTAGTCGGTTTTAAGTTGTTGTAGTGAGCGTTGTCGCTTTTAATTTCAGATGGTTATCTTTGTGTATACATATACACACATAAATAATGAATTTCTGTATGTATATATGTGTATATATTTATATATACATATAGACGTTCATCATTTATTATAATATATAGATTAAAATCAGTGTATTCATTATGAATGGTGAAAAATTAATCAGATAAAATATAAAAAGATGGGGAGATGTATGCTTCTTACACATGGTCAATAAACATCCTTTTCATTTACACACCCTGTTGGCAAAGCCCTTTTGTTTCAAAGTAGCTTGAGCTAAAAAAGAAAAGAAAAAAGAAAATCACCTCAACGCCCAACATGTGTGTGTGTGTGTGTGCCCAGACGCACCTCTAGATGCGGACAGGTTTGTGCTTGTGTTTGTTACACCACCAAGTAACCTTGGGAAATGTCAAATACAAAGGCATCATTGCCAAAACAGGTGTGTAGAAAGAGCAGATGTGTAGTAGTTCCTCTTTGCTAACACAGTGGTGAGCTGATTTGGTAGGTTTACTCTTGCAGCATAGGGGAATTCCTTTTTCCGCAGGGATAGTTAAGGTTATTTAAAGATGAAATAAACTCAGGATAATGTTTTTATTATTGAAAACATACATTATCAAACAGACATGTTTAAGATTAGAAACTTGTATGCCAGATTTTAGTGCTCCGAAATACATATAAGCATTTTCTAGCTTAAGAAAATGCTTATTTATATATATGTATGTGTATATATATGTGTATATATGTGTATATATGTATATATGTATGTATATATGTATATATATGTATTTTCCCATATATGTGTATATATGTGTATATATGTATATATGTATGTATATATGTATATATATGTATTTTCCCATATATGTGTATATATGTGTATATATATGTGTGTATATATGTGTATATATATATGTATATATATGTATATATATATATGTATGTATATATATGTGTGTGTGTGTGTGTAGAGTTCGTAAAGGGTTAATATATGTACATAATATAACTATCTACTTTGTGGTTTTCTGCCTATCGTGGGTGTTTTTTTGGGTCCATGATGTGATTGTACTGCTACAAAATTGTTGTTTAAAATAAATTGTGTTTTCCACCACATGTAGTACACTTAGCTTACACCAATCGCTCACTTGATAGAAGGTCATGCTGTGAAATAATCCAGTTTGTTGTCAAATAGCCTTTTTGGTGACCAAAAAGCATAATTGTATACTTCGAATGGTATTTTTTATTGTTTATTATATGAATTCCAGTGGCCAGAAAATCGTATTTTATTCATTTGTGTGTGTGTGTTTTGAAATATTTGTTAATTAAATTTGTTCAAATACCACACGATGGTCAGACACTTTCCAGGTATTGTTAGAAATCCTTAAATAAAATAAAGTATGCCCATACAGAGGTAATTAATGGTTTGAGCAGGGAATAAATGAAGAGTAACTTGTAGAACAGATGATAATAAAAACATAGGGCTTATTCTGCTAGTACAATGTAGTGTAAATGTCAAGTAAAATATAATTATTTTGAAGAAAAAAAATCTTATATTTCCCACATTTGTGACTCATTTGAGGCTATTGTGTAACCATGTAGTGAAAATGTAGTGATTTTAAAGACTAAAGGTTTACAAGATTTCCAAAAAAAGTGCATATTCATAATAAAAAAATGAAAAAAAGAGGGGGAATATACTTATATAAATTAAAATCTTACAAAATAAAAATAAACTAAAAAAAGTCTTATTCTGCTAGTACAATGTAGTGTAAATGTCAAGTAAAATATAATTATTTTGAAAAAAAAAGTCTTATATTTGAAAAAAAGAGGGGGAATATACTCGTATAAATTTCAAATCTTACAAAATAAAAATAAACTAAAAAAAGTCTTATTCTGCTAGTACAATGTAGTGTAAATGTCAAGTAAAATATAATTATTAATATAATTATTTTGAAAAAAAAAGTCTTATATTTCCCACATTTGTGACTCATTTGAGGCTATTGTGTAACCATGTAATGAAAATGTAGTGATTTTAAAGACTCGTTTACTACTACTTACTGACTGGTTTACAAGATTTAAAAAAAGTGCATATTCATAATAAAAAAATGAAAAAAAGGCGGAATATACTTGAATGAATGTCTTCATTTTGCTATAAAACAACTAAACAAACTTGTAGCAGTTCTGTAAAAATGTAACGTGAAGAATTGTAAATATACTCTTGTAAATGTTCCATTGTAACCAGATTTGAACGTTAAGCGCGACTCTTTTGAATGTTTTTCCTGAAATTTTTTCTTTTCTTTTTTTCTTTTCTGTAGTGGTGCTGATTGGAGATTCCGGCGTAGGGAAGAGTAACCTGCTGTCGCGCTTCACCCGTAATGAATTTAACCTAGAGAGCAAGAGCACCATTGGGGTGGAGTTTGCGACACGCAGCATTCAAGTCGAGGGGAAAACCATCAAGGCTCAGATCTGGGACACGGCGGGACAAGAGCGATACCGTGCTATCACTTCTGCGTGAGTACTGAAAAGCAAATGATGGACGAAAAAGAGCAACTGATGGGAACGGGCAAATAAGTAAAAAAATAAAATAACAACAGGCACTTGACAAAAGTTAGCAATCGATATTAGCTTCCGTTTTATCATCGATAAGCAACACACGCACATTAACAAAGCAGTATATTTACGTATCTATTCCTGAAATCTAATTTTTTTCCTTTTAGAGCCGGTGCAGAATTTCAGCTGGGAATGTTTATGCAGCAATTTGACGCATTTCATTGTGTGATAAATACCCCAAATATTAAACAACTAATCATACATTGATGTCCTGTTTTGCACCCCCAGGTACTATCGCGGGGCGGTGGGAGCTCTCTTGGTTTACGACATTGCCAAACACCTGACTTATGAAAATGCTGAGCGCTGGCTAAAAGAGCTGCAGGACCACGCTGACAGCAACATAGTGATTATGCTTGTTGGAAACAAAAGTGACCTGCGCCACTTAAGGGCAGTGCCTACAGATGAAGCCAAGGCCTTTGCAGGTAACACTTCCGGTGCTGTGTGTGTGTGAGACTCTTCGTTTTTATGAGGTTCTAAAGAGCATCCGATATTTTCTGAAATCGCCTTGCAATTGCGCACTCCACAGGTAAATTTATTATTGAAGGGAGTGTTGTTAAATCTAGTGGTGGCCACCAGGGGGTACTAATGGGGATCCAGAAATGGATAAAAGATAGGAAGATAATAAGTAAGAGAAGAAAAAAAAAAAAATTTATAACAATTTGTCATGAACCATACAACACGTAAACTGCCTTAATCATCGGATTCTCACATTTCCAATGGTACCTGAACGCACCTCGTGTGATAGCTGCAACTCAGGCGGACGCCACAATCTGTTTAGACCTGGCAGTTTGTGCCCAATCTGCGTCGCTGCCATTTGCAAATATGCGAAATGGCGCCCCCTTGGAGAAACTTTATTATAGTTTAGTTTACAGTTTGTGTGTTGTGTGGATGCCCAATTTGCACAAGTTGTAATATAAAATGGTTGTAAAATATAATACAAAAAAATATAATATAATCTCAGAATGATGAAAACAACACAGTTGTTTATCGTCATCATTAAATGTGAATTAGTAATGCAGATAGAGACTTGTAATTTATATAATTATTTTTTGTTATAATAACAAAAGTATTTATTTAGAATTTAAAGTTAAGACAGTGACAGTAGACCAGTTAAACCTGTGTCCCTGCAAGCTAAAATGCTAATTCTTTTACTAGACTAGTGGTAGGTGTAGATTTATTTGTTCAGATTTGTAGGTTGACTAAATTAAGGTTATATATATATTTTTTTTATCCTGCAGGCAGCAGTGGTTTAAGTGAAATTGTGGGTTCGCAGCTCAGTGACATTTGACACTCAGTTGCAGGTCATTCTTCCAGTCATAAATAATAAATAAAGCAATTTGCTTTGGTTAATAATGTTATTTTGTTTCTCTTCTTTTTTTCTTACCTTAATTCCAACGCAATTTGACTATTTGTATTGTCGTCCAGCAGCTTTACAACATACAAAATTGATCCACGTTCATTGGTTCCAATGACCAACTAAAGTGTACAGCATTAGTTAACAACATGTTTGTCGCGCACGTTTCAGAGAGAAAAAACAAATAACCAAAACAAGAGAAACCACGGTTTCCATCTTCAAAGTAAACACAATGAAATGGCTGTCAATCTGTGCGCACTGTTTTGACCCTGCACCTCGATGTGTGTATTTGTGTCACGTCATTGTTGGACTAACGTGTGTGTGAATTTGTGCTTCGCAGAGAAGAACGGCCTGTCTTTCTTGGAGACGTCGGCTTTAGACTCGTCTAATGTGGAGCTGGCTTTCCAAACTATTCTCACAGGTGAATTGCACATTTGTTTTCTCATACATCTCATATATATATATATATATATAGTGTTCATATCAAATGCCGTAAATTGCTGAACCTCATAGTCGACAGATGACAGAATCAAACAGAATTACGTATAACCGGCATAGATATCGTGTATGGATACGACTAAGACAATAAGCGCTTAACTAACAATGTTGGTATTCTACCACTAGATGGCAGCAAAGTACTAAAACCACTGTCCTCTCGTTTGAAAAAAAAAAACAGCACTGGTTCCCTCGTGGTGCCCAAACTATACTCCTGAAAAGGCAAGATTAAAATTTAGTCAATTGCGGTGCACTTATTAGTGAACAAAATTATATTATTCACTGCTGATGCCTTCCTGGACTTTGTAGAATGAAATGATTATATCTTACCAGCCTACAATAGGACAACAACAGTTGAAATGTTAATGTTAAACTTAAGTAGCTGTTTTGATGAGATTTCAAATTTTCAAAGTTTCAAAAGTTGAAGCATTAATGCTGGATAATTGATTACTTATATGTTATGTATTCAGTTGCAATATAAAATGTATGTAGAGGATGCTGTCGTTATAGTTACACTAATGTCCTGTCCGTCAGTCTACTCCAGACCTTGGCATTGCACGGCCTACAGGTCACATCTGGTAACTGACACTGTAGTTTCATACCGAACAAACAAACCTAATTTTACACCAAAAATATTTATGAATAAAGGAAGGAAGGCAACCTCAGCTGTAACTTGACAGCTAGTGGACTCGAACAGGAAAGCTTCCTAGGTTAAGTCTGCTTCCTTAACCACCAAGCCAGGGAAACCTTCCGGACATAAGTCTGCTTCCTTAACCACCAAGCCACCACTGCTCCCCCATATACACATATATACATAGATTCTTTGCAAAAGAGAATTCTCTCAGATTAAATGTAGTCATCGTTATTAATTAAAACATGTTAGGACGCCTGCGGAAGTATTTAATTGTGTAATGTAATTAGTGACTCTTAAAAAAAAACACTGATGTTGAAATCTGGGAGGCTTTTCATTTCCAGCAGATGGTGAAACCATGCGTTCACGTCAACATAAAGTCTATAAGATTGCAGTATTTTGGTGATGGGTTCAAGCAGAGCGTAAAAAAAAATGTTTTTGACGGTATTGAAGGAGCTGTACTTTTTTTTTTTTTTTTTTTTTTTTTTTTTTTTTTTTTTTTTAACATTCTGTTTAAAATTTCAACTGCCAGATGAGAACATATTCACCATGTTTTACATTGAAAATGATGTAGTAACCCAAATTTTAGCGGCGATGATTTCACCAAAAGAAGTCAATCAAAGTGAACAAAAACCGTCACCTGGCTACCAACAAAAGATCTGTAAAAACTTACGTTTGGTTTTATATTTGGCTCAGCTTTTTTAGAACACATAGGCATCAAAACCTTTTGCCCGTCCACGGTAGTTTCTAACTAAGCGTTTTTTTTTTTTTCCACATTAATCAACTTCTTTTCGTCTTCGTCCCATCGTAGCCATCTACAACATCGTGTCCCAGAGGCAGATGTCGGGCCGAAACGACTCCGACTTCTCACCGGCCTCCAACGTCGTGCCCATCACAGTCGAGCCCACCCAAAACTCATCCAGTAAAGGCTGCTGCCAGTCCAACTGAGACCAAATCACAGGGTTGGGGGGGTTGGAGGGGGGGGGGGCACATGCAATATAGGAATGAGACTGAATTTACTATTGTTT